CCGACGTGTGGTCTGACAGACACTTGAAGCGTTCGGATACGGTGGTTTCATTTGTTAACAGAGACGTAACCCCCCGCGCGTTCGTGTACCCCTCAGGCAGTCGCCCGGCAACGTTCGTGGAGTGTGGTTGTGTCGGCGCTTGCGTTTCTGGTGAGTTATGTCTTTTATAAGTTCGCGCGTGGTCTGACAGACCACTCGTCGGTACTTACGTAACTTTTTTTGGGACGATTTTTTCCAGGTTTTACTATTTTTCTCTTTTATTTTCAGCTAGTCATAAAAATGAATCGGCCGGGTACATCGGGTGTGAAACGTGCACCCTCAAAAGAAAATGAGAGTGTTCCTGTCACTAAGAAGAAACGTGAAACTAAGCCTCAAAATAAGGATCATGAAGAGATGGTAATTGAATGGCTAAATGAGAGCTCAGAGTCAGATTCTGATGACATAGATCCGAATTTTATTGCCGAGAGTGACCATGATTCAGCATCTGAATGAAACATGTGTGCCTGCAATGCAGTAAGCCTGTATGCAAAGAGTGTTTGTAAATTGTGATAATTCCTATAATGATGCCGTGCAATTTTGAAGAAATTTGTTAATTCTTTGTTAAATTTTAATTTTAGTTGTTTTATTAGTTATTAATCTTTAAGAAAAAACATATATCATGAAAAAAAATACTTAGTTGGTAAATGTTATTAAAAAAGTAAAAAGTTAATTTTTTCTCCCAAAGAAATTAAGACTTCAAAGTTCGTGTTAATAATAATAATAAATATAAAAATTTCTTTATCTTGTTTTATTTATACAATAACTAAATATATGATTAATACATAGACACATTTAAAAAATAATAATATTTTGTAATATGAAAGTTTTCCTTACTAAAGCTATAGTGGTCTAGCAGACCTCACGTCGGTACTTATGTAACTAAGATGGCATGTCGGTACTTAAAGGTTAATTATGCGTTTCCTATTTCACGTCTGTCGTTTATTATTTTATGACGACTCTGTGTAACTGTAGCTCTGTTTGCGCGGGAAATAATGAATTATAAATGTTGTTTACTTGTTCTCGTACAGGTTAAAACAACATTAAGAAACATTGTTTGTTTTATAACATGTTTTTTATTAAAGGGAATTCTACTTACAGTAGGTACTTTTTATATTCAGTCTACGCATTTATTACACATACCATACGCGAGCAGTGCCTAACTGCCTACCTTTGTTCGATTGCCAACATTTCGTTTAGATAGTTTAGTTTCAAAAACCATGAAACAGTAAATTGTCGCTTACATAATGATCTGAAATTGAGTGAGATTTTTGAACCTATCAAATTACCTATGTACGTTCATCCAAAGCCAAAATGTTACTACAATATTGAGTGGCGCGCTCAAGCACGCAAAAAGCAAATATAGGACATTTTTTTCTTTTATAACCTACATAGTATAGGTAGTAAAGTATAATCCTATTGTATTTTGTAGTTTATAAAAAAGGTTAAGCAAATTGCGGTCTCTGCTTATTAGAGGTAAGAGTTTCGGGAAAAGGTCGGCCTACGGCTTATCTTATTGGTGTAACTTCTGATGGCGCTGATATCCTGGTAACTTGGGATGGAAAAACTGTTCATACAGAACTGTAGGTAAGTCAGAGCCTTCGTTGATATTGTTTGTATAATAGTTATGCTAAACTTTCATAACATTGTCTAGAGGCACACACAATTTTAAAAATCCATAAAATTCCCATTTGTGTTTGCCTTGTTTGCCCAGGGCTTTGTACAGAGAGCGGACGTCTGCTGAGTACTGTTATACCCAAGGAATACCACATCCTTATCCCCGTCACAGTGCTGACACTTCACTCCTCGCCTCAAATGCATACAACCCCGTCCTATACAAAAACAGTCAGTCGCATTCCATCCACAATCCCGTGCACTCGTGGGTCACACTCGAAATTATAATACCCTTTAATTTGTGAAGTGAAATAAAAGTCATTTTATTCTTCGAACTGCAGTGTTTCCTTTAAGAAGAGAACTTACAATATCAAAATCTAACATTGGTGGCAGCGGAAAAGGGATTGAAAAATCCTAGGTTTCCTCCAAAAACCGTATCAACGAAGTGCAATGAGTACATAACTTACACGACGCGACTCATATCATCCAGGTGTATATCAAACCCACACCAGTGAACCTCATAGCCGATCCACTGTGCAGTTAGTGGTAAGGAGCAGTGACGCAGGTAGCGTCTCCCGTGGGAACTCCAAGCCCAGCACCGACCTGGCTCAAGGTCAACTCCCGGTTCCAGTATCCAGAACTCGCAACTCCAGTTCCAGTTCCAGCGTCTTCATGAAAAACACATGTTTGGTGCAACAGTGAGTTCAGTGATATATTTCTATTTATAAACCAAAGTCCTACAATTTACAAGTGATCAAACAAAAACTAGATCTTTTGTTTAATAGATTACCTTTGAGGGCTAAACCCAAAGTCGTAAAAAAAAAATTTACAAGTGGTTTCGTGTTTTTGTATGAAAAAAAGGTCGACACTTTCCAGTGAATAGCGACAAGAACACTTGAAGTGTTCAGAGATTTGGTGTGTAAATTTATAACCCACTTATACTATTTTATTTCTAAGTTTGTTTTTTACAACTGTAATATTTTTAAACAAAAATGTCAACTCAAAGTTCTAAGAATGTCAAAGATGACGCCAAAGACGGATTAACTCTTAACGTTATCCTAAAATTCATTAAACCTTTCGATGGTAGCCGTGAAAAACTGAATGCTTTTATAAATAACTGCGATAATGCAATTTCCTTGGCTTCCGCAAATCAACAAGACATTGTATTTAAATATATAATCAGCCAGTTAGATGGTAAGGCCGAAATAGCTTGTTCCATAAAAGAATTTGAGACATGGCCTACACTTAGAGATTTCTTACAAAATCAATTCGGTGAGCGTAAACACTACGCTCATCTTCTGATTGAACTGCAAGACTGCAGACAGGATGCCCAAGAAAATGTTAGCCAATTCTCACTGAGGGTTGAAACCTGCCTGTCACAACTCCTTACAGAAATAGCCATTAATAGTTATAAGAAAACTGAAGTCCCCGGTAGAGTAGCTGCTATGGAGGATCTAGCTCTCCATACTTTTACTATGGGCCTTAACCCTCGTATCGCCAACATAGTTAGATGTAAAAATCCAAAAAATCTTAATGACGCAATTAATTGTGCCCTCTCAGAAGAGAAATTACAGCAATATGTTCAAAAACAAAATATGGTCACAAAAACGTTACATGGTAATGACAGTAACACTAGACCAAATAAAACTGGAAACTATAATAATAACTACACTCAAAAACATGCATCCAATCAATCAGCTTTAAAAGATTTGTTCTGTCGATATTGCAAAAAACCAGGACACGTTTTAGAAAATTGCATACTCCGTGATTACAATAATAAAAAAATTAATATAAATAAACCCTCCAATACCGATGTCTTGCCAAGTACGTCCTTCAAACCGCAAATTAACACCTTCACCGAAACCGAAGGTTATAATATTATAGACGAAAATAATTTAAACTAAATTATGTCCCGAAAAGGT